ACCTTGTTATCTCTTTGTCCAGGGTTCTGACTGGGTTTTGGTTCTCACAGGAGATGATATGGCATGCATGCATGGGGGGACAGGGCTATGGGAAAGGGGATGGCAGAAGGTGTAAGTATTACAATGCTTCACTCTCAGCCCAGTGTTTATCACTTTTGTTTTATTCAGTCAGTCATGGGATGTGGGTGTTGCTGCCTGTGAGCCAGCATTCATTGTCCGTCTCTAGTTGCCTCTGAGAAGGTGATGGTGAGCTGCCTTCTTGAACCACTGCAGTCCTTGTGCTGTAGGTGGACCCACAATACCGTTAGGGTGGGAATTCCAGAATTTTGATCCAGTGATACTGAAGAAATGGCAATATGTTTCCAAGTCAGGATGGTGAGTGGTTTGGAGTTGGTAGTATTCCCATGTATCAGCTGCCCTTGTCCCTTGAGATGGTAGAGGTCATTTGTTTGCAAGGTGCTGTCTAAAGATCTTTGGTGAATTTCTGCACTGCATCTTGTAGATAGTACACACTACTGCTACTGAGTGTCAGTGGTGGAGGCAGTGACTGTGGATATTGCAAAGTGAGCAGATGCTGCATGTAGCATTGGTAACTTGTTGACATAAGCCTTTAGAAACTATTGTTTGGCCAACTATTGTTAGCTATTGTTTACAAGTGACTCTAGTCAATGAGTGCTGACAGGTTCTGTTCATATACACACATGAGAGAAGACAAAAATGAAAATGATCAAGGTCAGGGAAACTAACAGATCAAGATGAATTGTGTTGTGGTGCTTTTAAAACTTTACCTCTCATCTACCTGATACATGAAATCTCTCACCCACTTATCTCTGAAAGACAGAACTGTCACAGCCCAGGAGGACACCATTTGACCCATTAGGTTTGTGTTAGGTTGCTGCGAGAACAATCTAGCCTGTCTCGCTTCCCTGCCATTTCCTAATAACCCCACATTCCTTCTCTCTTTACCATGCTGCAATGGAGCACACGTTCTGCTTTTTAAACAAGTAGATCATTGTTGTGAAAACCAGAAATTGTATGTATTTTTAGCTAATAACCTTATCACTTATACTTGGATAAATACAGCAGTAGTTTTGCAAAAAAAAAAATCTCAAATCTTTATGTTGTTTAAAGACTAAAGATTTGCTGCTGGTCATTTTTAAGTTGAATCACTCAAAATTAAAAGTGAGTTACATACATATAAACTACACAATGGAAGATGGAGACACATACAATTCACTTCACAGTCAGGTAGCAAACTACACATTGGCTGCTCCACACTTTATTACCTTCCCATTAAGATTCTTGTAAGCTGTTCACCATCCATGTGATATAAATTCTGTGAATTTAAGTATTGCATTTTAAAACCTGCTGTCCAATTTAAAATTCCAAATTATATCTCAACACTGTGAGATTTTACCCTCCCTTATGGCAGGAGGGGAAGTTTAATCAATTCCAATCAATAGAATGGTTAAAAGACTTTCGTTTGAGTTTGAGGTGATGACTGAGAGTTATTCAGCAAAGTTTAATCTATTCGGACCAGGGTTCTACTTTCCGTTAGGACAAACAGAACTCGAATGGCCGCTTGGCAAATCATTCCCACATCAGCTGCTTTCTGCTTGGCCTACCAACCAGTTGGTGCAACTGCAACTCTTCAATTTATTGGCAGTGGCTGGCAGCTCTTTATTTTAAAATAATTGCAGAGCTGCCCTGAGCCTTGTATCATTACACAGCTCTTTGATTCTCTTTCATCATTCATTCATAAGTTGTGGGAGTTGGTGGTTAGGCCAGTAATTAGTTACTGCCCCAGAAAAGCTCAGCAGGTCTGGCAGCATCTGTGGAGGAGAAAACAGAGTTAACGGTGACCCTCCCTCTGTTCTTGATTTACAGCATCCGTAGTTCTTTTGGTTTTTATTTACTGCCCATTGCTAAGTGCCCTCAAGAAGTTGGGGGTAGTGAGCCACCTTCTTAAACACAACTGAGTGACCCGCTGGGCTGTTTCAGAGGGCAGTTAATAGTTAACCAAGTTGTGATGGGCCCAGAGTCACATGTAGGCCAGACTGGGTAATGACAGCAAGTTTCCTTCCCCAGTGGGTTTTTACAACAATGTAATACTTCCACGGTCACCATTATTGACATCAATGTTTTATTCCAGATCTATTTAATTAACAAAATCAACAATTTCCAGTAATTTGCTGTAGTGAGATTTGAACTCAAGACCAGGGGAGATGAGCCATTGTGAGAGAATAGAATAGAATCCCTAAGGTATGGAAGCAAGCCATTCAGCCCATCAGGTCCACACCGACCCTTTGAACAACATCCCACCCAGACCCACTCCCCTACACTATCCCCATAACCTCACTTTTCCCTTGACTAATCCACCTAGCGTGGCATCCCTGGACACTACGAGGCAATTTAGCATGGCCAATCTCCCTAACCTGCACATCTGTGGACTGGGGGAGGAAACTGGAGCACCCGGAGGAAACCCCATGCAGACTCAGGGAGAATATGCAAACTCCGCACAGGCAGTAGCCCGAGGCTGGAAGCGAACCTGGGTCCCTGGTGCTGAGAGGCAGCAGTGCTAACCACTGAGCAACCATGCCACCCCATATGGTGGTAATGTCACTGGGTGAGCAATCAAAGACCCAGGCTAATGTTCTGGGGTTACGGGCTCATAGCCCACCATGGGAGTTGCTCAAATTTTAATTCAATGGATAAAGTCTGGAATTGAGACCTAGTCTCAGTGGTGGTGACTATGAACCTAACATTAACTGATTCACATTTTTGAGGAAGGAAACCTGCCACCCTTACCTTTAGTTTTATTCATACATGGAATGTGGGCGTCACTAGCTGGGCTGATGTTTATTACTCATCCCCAGTTTCCCTTGGGAAAGTGGTGGTGAGCAACTTTCTTGAACGACTGCAGTCTTCGGGGGTGTAAATAGACCCACAATGCCCTTAGGAAGGGAATTCCAGGATGCTGACCCAACGACAGTGCAGGAACGGCGATATATTTCCAAGTCAGGGCGGCTGGTGGGTGTCCAGGAGGTGAACTTGAAGTTGGTGGTGTTCCCATGTATCTGTTGCCCTTGTCCTTCTAGATGGAAGTGGTCGTGGGTTTGGAAGGTGCTGTCCCAGGATCTTTGGTGAATTTCTGCAGCGCATCTTATAGAT